TATGATCCTGGTTGGTTGGAAGGGATGGGGAATCACGGCATGGTAAGATGCTGCTGAGATGTCTTTCCTTCTTCTTAGCTAACTAAATGAAGTTAAAAAAAATTAAAAATAAAAACCATTCTCATAAAAAAAAAAGATGGCTAGGTTAGTATTCAGAAATATTTAAGAGTTCAAGGGTAGAAACTAATCATTAGAAAACATATTCTTTTGATTCTTAATGGTTTAAAAATTGAATGATGGGAATTGGTCAGTGGTGACTGAGACAAGAAAAATGTCTAACAAATACTGGTAGTTCTGGAAAACACTGAACAATTTAAAAGAGCAACAAAAACTCTGCCAATGGTGCAAAATGAATGTAAACAGGAAAACTGGCAGGATTTAATCTGTATAGAACATAAACTATATTAGCAAAATTAATTTATTACTCACCCAGGAAAGCTGAAGGTAAGAGCTATGGTCAAAATATTTTATAAATGTAAGGTACTACATAAAACAAGCAGAAAATTTAAGCTTATAGTTTCTTCATTCTTCAGTTAAGGATTATTTACAATCAAAAGAAGGTTTTATCATGAAAATAATATGAAATTCAGTACCTTTAGATTTCATTTCTTTAATATCAAAAGAATTAGATCTCTTAAAAAAATCAATCATATGGTTCCTGAGGTAACAGAATTACTATTTAGTAATACAAGTCTTCTGTTAGCCATAATTACTTCAGTTAAAAGAAGCCAATGTATTGACTTTATAAAAGGCTGCTTGTGTCTCTCATCCTACTACAATAATACTTATTGAAGCCAAGGAAAAGGGAAAAAGAAGTGGGGGTGCCAAGTATACCTAATTCTTTTCTTCCTGTCATTCCCATACACTAGACTCAGTTCTGTACTTGAGAGGGTGGTTTTCAGACCACCTGTATGTAATGAGCTACTCAAGAGAGTAGGGGAACTGCATAAATAACCAATGAGACAATATATTTATTTATTGAAATCAAGATTTAGGAGCTGAGAATGGAACTGAAAAGAGACTGGGGAGAAGAAAAGCAGCCCAAGAGAGAAGTAGAGTAGTTCAAATTCCAACCAATGGTCTGGACTATCAATAAACTAGCTTAATGAGCAGCTAGATTTTTGCAGGATTTTGGACCCTAAGTTCTGTAGTTAAGTCAGACAACAAACTTCAGAATGGACTAATCTATGGATCTATAATATTCCTGGACATGTGAAGAGTTCTAAATAACACACAGAAACTTATCAAATCTACATTAATCTGAATCAACTCAAGTCATAGAACTGACACCATCAGGAAATCACTTAGGTACCTGGATGAAATAGTTGGTGCTCATAAACTAAAGTACAACATTTTATACATGCATGTGTACATATATATATATATATATATAATTTTTTTATCATAATTTTTAATCTAATAAAATTAGTGTTACAGCTCTTTGAGTATTTGTTCAATAGATTTTCTGTTTTTCAGAACCAGCAGTTAGCGTAATGGCTATGTTGCTGGACTCCCATGTAGTCAAATGCAGTTCGAGTCCTTGACCCGGTGGCTTAAACTCACGCCGGCCCGTGTGTGTGCATGCCCAAGATTCCGAGAGAAGAATGGAGGAGAAAGGATTGCAGCATGGCCATCTCCCCTAGGGGGTGATTTCTGGCTTTCTGTCTCTCTGTTTCTCTCTTTCTGGCAAGCACACACACCCTATAGCAAAAACCTCTCCAAAGAAAAAAAGAGTTTCTGGTTTTTTTTTTTCTGGAAAAAAAATTGTACATAAGGTTAAAACTCCCTACCAAAACCAATCCCTACCTACTGCTTGGAGAACCCCTAAACTGAAGTACATTCATTGTATTTATTTATGTTATGACATATGGTGATATCAACAATAATGGTCATTTCCTGTACTTTATAGTTAATATAAATGGTATATCATACCGCATGTATCCCTCCAACACAATGCTTTTGAAATTTATTCAGATTGACACATGCCATGTATCAAGATCATTTATATTTCTTGCAAAGCCTTGTACTGGTCTGTTCCTGTTTTTGTGACACATCTTGGGGTTAAAGTAATAGTAGGGATCCACTCCTGTACCCTGTTGTGCTGGGCACCACTTCCTTCATGGCTTTGGTATAGTAAACACACTGCTCGAGCTTTAATTCTCCTTAGTCTCTGGAAAATAGAGATTTCCTTTTTATTTAGCTCCACTGAGTACTTAATATTTTGGATTATATTTCAACCCCAAAACCCTTTATTTTAGTAGAGGGAGGGGAGCCATCACATTTCTGAGGTTAGAAAGAAATACAGGCCCTAAAAGAATCACCCTACAGTTCTTCAGAATTGTACTTATCTACACTTCAAATCGTACTGTGTACTTATTGAATCGGGACTGTGAAGGATTCCTGCCTACAGGATGACAGGCCTTTTTACACAGAACAAGAGAAAAGGAGAAAGAGGGTTTGTTAAACATTTGCCAGAATGGAACTATGATTTGAATCAGTATAAAGCTGAAAACTGTATTTCTGTGAATGCAACATAGTCTACATTCATGAACATTTACATATACCTACTTTATTTTTATTTATTTTATTTTTTAATTTGCTATAAAGCAGATATGCTCACTGGGGAGAGACACAGACAGGCAGAGGGAGAAATTGTGAAATCATCTCGAAAGATGGATGGCCACACTATAATCCTTTTTCTTCCATTCTCTTTTCTGGATTTTGGGCATTCATGCACACGTACCCCGCATGCTTAAGTCACTGAGTATGGGACTTGAACTACATAGTTGGTCTTGTGGGATCTAGCAACTTAACCACCAAGCTGCCAACTGGCCCATATGCCTACTTTAATTAAAGGCATGGACTACAACCATTGCTCAGCTGAGTATTTGACCCTTCATGGTGAGAGAGCTGATGTTACCTAGTTGCTAATTTCTTCTGTGTTTTACTTTTGCAGGCTGGTGGTTTGATGCATGTGGTCCTTCCAACCTGAATGGAATGTACTATCCACAAAGGCAGAACACAAATAAATTCAATGGTATTAAGTGGTACTACTGGAAAGGGTCAGGATACTCGCTCAAGGCCACAACCATGATGATCAGACCAGCAGATTTCTAAATGCCTGTGTACATCTGATGAGGAGTATATTGTACTATTTTCAAAGACTTAGTCCCAAAGCATGGAAAGACACTGCTGCACATTGTCTCTTCTTCCACACTGGACTGCTGCTTTTGGGTACTGATGGGATCCATGTGCTCCAGATTAGAGCCCATAAACTTCATCACTTAAGCCTGCATCACTTAATGAACCTAAGCAAAACCCAAAACAAGCAATGTGGGGTTGTGATCTGGCAGACACTTACGTGAAGATGAATTCAAAGTTGAGAATTAGACTGACAATTTACAAACCTTGCTGTCACAACCAAGAATGCTATGTGCGAGTTTATCACTAAATAACTGGAAAACAGAACACTTATGTTATATAGTACAGATAATCTTGGAACTGCATTCTTCTAGGCACTGTTTATAGAGTGTGTAAATATCCATATGTGCTGAATTCAGAATCACTATCACTATTAAAAAGAAGAAAAAATCTTTAAGTCATAAAAATATATCACACATTCAGGGATTTTTCTGAGAAGTGATTACTAGCAGTTTAATATTTGGAAAAAGATAGCACATCCTCCTCCTCCTAGGTGCCTTAAATTTTAATTTGAAGACAGCATATTCACATATATGTTGACAGCTTAAGTTAATGCTTAGATACACAGTTCAAGTTCATATGGTGAAAACTTCCAGGATCTCTGAAATTATCAATAGAAATGTGTGTTATTTCCCTTTATATGAAGATTGTACTATATTTTTCTGCCTGGCTGTTAAATATGAAGGTATTTTTAGTAATTAAATATAACTTATTAGGTAAGATGCTACATTTGAATTTTATGATAATATTTACAATTTTGCTATTTGATTCTGAAACTGATTGTGTCTCAAAACAAGGTTGATTTTTAATGATTAAGAAAATTATACATTTAATTCCATCAGAAAGAGAACTTATTATTTTGTCTCTATTCTAATACAGAAGTCTAATTTCCCTTCTAGTTGAGTATTTTAGAGGACCAGATGACAATTCAATTTGTAGTTTGGAAAGAAACCTTCATTTTAAGTCATCTACAAAGCTATATTTCTCACAACTCACACTCTAAATTTATTTTAGGAAAATAAAATTGTAGTAGTTAAATTTTTTTATGTCCATCAGCAACTTTCAAGAAACCTGAAGTGCAAAAATCATCTAATGTACAGAGACTATATTTAAATGTTTATAGAACATTTTAAGGGCTGGCTCTCTGGCCTACTGGCTAAGGCAGTCAAATCCCACATGGTCAAGCCCCTGTTCAAGTCTCAGACCTGGCAGCTTGAGAAACATGCTGAGTGTGTGTGTGTACATGCATGAATAAAATCCTGAAGGGAGAGAGAGATGAACTGGAAGGGATCCTGGCAAGATCATTCCCATGCAGAGACTTCCTCCCCTTTCCTCTTTCTCTGTCTCTGGCTAGCAACATGCCCTCTGGCAAAAATTAAAAAAAAAAAATAGAAAGAAAAAAATTTGAGAACACAGCTTTGCTCTCTGGGTTATAAAACTTTAAACTCCTAGAATTTTAACTCATTTTGAAGGTCTCAATGTATAATTAATACTAATGAGCATTTGTACAATGCTTTATAATTTTGAAGAAATTCCTCATATATTCCTTTTTGGGTCATTCACTTATAAATTTAGAGTTCAGTTTGCAACCAGCATTTACTATATGTCTGTCTTTATCTTACACTATTAATGCTACTACCTTTTCCTTACTGTATTTTTCTTATCTAATTTATTTTACCCCTCTTTCCTCTACCTTAGTTTAAGAACACTTATGTGTGGCTACACATTCTGAGTCAATTTATAGACTCGGGAAAAATCAAGGCATTCTATTTTTATTTCCACCATGCTTCACTTTTCCAACAACTGTTTTACTCAGTAAAGAATCTCCCTACTTAGAATTATTTTTATTATTACATTTAAGAAGGTTTTATAAATTCTACAAATCCAGTAGTTTTGTGCCAGGTTTAAAAACATTTTAGGGACCAGCAGTTAGCATAATGGCTATGTTGCTGAATTCCCATGTAGTTGACCGCAGTTCGAATACCGGACCTGGTGGCTTAAACTCATGCTGGGTGTGTGTGCATGCGTGCCCAAGATCCCGAGAAGAGAATGCAGGAGAAGGGATTGCGGTGTGGCCATCCCCCTGGGGGGTGATTTCCTGCTTTCTGTCTCTCTGTCTCTCTCTGTCTTTCTGGCAAGTGCATGTGCCCTATAGCAAAAACCTCTCCGAAAAAAGAAAAAAAAAATACACAGCTTCAAAAAACAATAGTAAGTTTCTATGATAGCTCAATAATCTCAATGACAGATACCAAGTTGAGAAAATGATAATATAGCACAACATAATCTATATCAATATCACGTGTAGGCAGGTAAAATGAATTTAAAAGACAAATTTTCATTATATCATTCAGAGTTATATATGAATCTCTTATACAGAGAATAGGGAGAATTTATATTTTTACTTTGATTTCAAACACAGCATCTCAAATAGTCTTGCTGACAGGAATTTTTTCTCTTTTTTAAAAAAATTGTTAAAGTTGAAAGGAAATCAAAACAGTAATCTTAAAAATGAAAACAGAAATAGAAAAAAATCTCTCCAAAAGAAGAAAAAAAAATGAAAACAAAAATAACCCAAAAACCTAGATAACTATAGTAATTAGAGTTCAACTCCCTGTTATGCTATAATCATATGACCTATTTAAATAATTAAATAATAAGACTGCTTACAGATAAAAATCACCATTTATATTTTAGGTATTAATCTTTTGAAAAGTAAACTTTCACAAACCAGTTAACATTTTTGAAAATGAAAATCAATTTCTTCATAATCCTGATTCCAACTCAACTTAAATTATTCAGCTATTACTTAATCTTTTATAAAATTAGAACCTAGAACTTTTCCATTTATAAAATATTTAAAAGTCAGTAAAGTTGAAGTATGGTTTAGACAAACACCAAAATGTTAATACATCATAATGCTAGCAAGGCATAATTTTTATACCTATCAGTTCTATCTCTATCAACAGTAAAAATAGCAGTTTTTAAAAAGTATTACGTAATATATAGTACTACCTCCCTTCTGAACCTAATCTTTCTACATTTTTGTTTTTGTTTTTCTCAATCCTAAAGACTATTTTAATTAAGATTTTTTGAGATTCTTTACTACTTTTTGCAGAATGTTTTCACAGTCTCACATCTGTTTTCCCAAATAAATAGAAAAAAGGTGCTAAATTCTATGAATACGTCTTTTTGGTTACGGGTGTAATTTTTAATGACCTGATAAAAACTCAATTCTATTCCCATACTTACAATGGTTTCCTGAAAATACCAAATTGCATTTATTATCACAAAACAACATCTGACTTACAGGAGCTGCAGGGAAGTGGTTAGAAAGTTCAAACGGCTCTTCAGAAATCCAATGACCCATTTCGAGAGACCATAGTACCTAGAAGTGGTACAAGAAAACAGGACATTTATTACAGATTTATCAGGTAATTAGTGGGCAATAAACCAAGAGTCATTCTGAAGATATAGCCAAAACAAAACAAAAACCCCAGTAATGATAAACTCCATAGATCTGAAACAGATGTGTTCTTAAACACCAAAGTGCCTTTAGAATCTTCATGTTGCATAAGTGTCATGAATATTAATAAATACTTAGTTTAAAAAAAGCCTCATCATGGGGCCAGAAGGTGACGTGGTGGTTAAGGTGCTGGACGCCCACATGGCTGAGACCTGGTGGTTTTCTTTCTTCCTTTCTTTCTCTCTCTCTCTATGTCTCTCTGGTCAAATTAAAATAAATAAAGGAAAGAAGTTAAATAAAATTTAATAAATATTTTAAAAAGCCTCATGATGACTAGGAACCTGAGTTATTATTCTAGTAAGGCTAAATATTTAATCATCTGGTTTTTAAACATATAAAACACTATATATGTATATTTAAAATGTCAAGTTTCTAATTTATGGAGTCAATAATAAATAATCCTTCATAAACATTCCTGCAGTCTATTAGTTAAAAAAAAAATTAGGAAAAGATCATAAACTTAAATTCAAAATGCAATTCTTTTGGTTTATAACTTTATTTCTAGCACTGGTTAATATTTTCAAAGTCCTCCAGAATATATCTGAAAACCCATCCCAGATTTTGGAAGAATAACATGTCTCATACACCTATTTTATTATTATTATTAATAGTAGTAATAGTAAAATATCTCAGAAATAAGCTCTCACTATCACTAGCATCATTATATTATTATTATTTGAATCCGTGCATTTTGAAATATCAATGTTTTCACTTTTATTCAATAATGTTTGAGATTCTGCAATGATCTCTTCTGTATGACCAAAACTTCCTGAAAGTCTGTCAATACACCAGTAAAATTTTATAGCTGACATAACCAGACTAGGGCCAGCGGGTGGCATGGTGGTTGAGGTGGTTGGAGTCCCCATGGCTGACTGTGCATCTGAGTCCCAAACACTGCTTGAAAAATATGCCAGGCACATGTGAATGCATAGGTAGGATCCCCTGGGGAAAATGGAGGAGAAGGGATTGTGCTGTGGCCATCCCCTCTGGAGGAGTCATTTCTCACTTTCTCTGTCTCTCTTTTTCTGTTTCTCTCTGGCAAGTGCATGCACCCTATAGCAAAACTAAAACCAAAAACAAAAACAAACTGAATTACATATTTAAAGTTTTTTTTTTCTTAAATTCACAATATTATTTCTTTCTTTTAGGGCACGTGTGCTTGCCAGAGAGAGAGAGAGACAGATAGAGATACAGAAAGCGAGAAATCACCCCTCGGGGGGATGGCCACGCTGCAATCCCTTCTCCTCCATTCTCCTCTCAGGACGTTGGGCACGCACGCACATGCGCCAGGCGTGAGTTTAAGCCACCGGGTCCAGGACTTGAACCACAGTTGACTACATGGGAGTCCAGCGACATAGCCATTACACTAACTGCTGGTCCCAACACAATATTATTTCTTATATTAAGTGAATCTATTATTTTCCTAGAGTGGTTATCTAAAGTGTAAAGCTTACATTCCTTTTGCTGACTAACCTGTAATAAAGCCTAAGTCTTCCTTTTTCATAGTTTCTAATATTTAGAGCCATGTACAGCATATCAGCCTTAAACATTTCTTTCCTTATATATTAATGTTAGTATATACCTGACATGAGACAGTCGTATTTTTTTTTTCCTAATAAAAAGTGAGCAAGATAGTGGACTAAATAAAGGCAAGAACAGAAAGTAAAATCTGAACTACAATTCTTAGAACAGATCTGCTTCTTATTTTAAATGGATATGTTTTTCTTCAACAACTATTTCTTTCTGCTCACTGTGTGTTATCTGTGCACAACTTATTAGAGCCCATCATTAACAAGAACCCAAATTGGACCTGGAATCATAGTGTGAAACCTAGAGGAGTCACTTCTCCAATGTGGGAGACACAAAATGATGGTTTCTCTTGAAGGGTGTGATGGGAACCTTGAGGAGAGAGCAAATTAACTCATTCTAAGGTCATCAAGAAAAGGTCCACACAGTTAAGCTGATATTTTAAGCTGGGTCTTAAATGGTGATTAATAGTTCATCAGACAAAAAGAGACATTACAAAGTAGAGAGGACATAGCTAAAAAGGGCTCTGAAAGAGTTGTGCCCAAGATGCTAAAATGGGAATGGAGTATAATGTAAGAAGTTAGGTTTCTACTAGAGAGAGAGAATAGCAAGCCATATTCCCAGGAACCCTATCTAGCATAGCTATTTAAACAATTAGATCTTTGTACTTAAGAACATTCTATTATTTTCCCCTAATTTTTATTGCCTAAAGACTATTACTCCACCCCCAAAGAATTACTTTAATAAGTTCAATTAAATAAGGTATTAGATGGGACCACAGAAGGTGTGATGGTTATGTCACTGGACTTTCACATAGGCAACTGCAGATTGAGTCCTGGAACCAGAGGCTTGAAACTCACACAGAGTGCGTGTGCATGCATGCCCAAAATCCTAAGGATAATGGAGAAGAAGGGATTGCGGCATGGCCACCCCCACCCCCCGGGGTGATCTCTCACTTTCTGTCTCTCTATGTCTCTCTAGCAAGTGCCCATGTTATATAGCAAAAATCTCTCAAAAAAAAAAAAAAACCATAAAGATATCAGAAAAATCAGTAACCCTACACTGAAATCATGTTTCTTTCAGTTCTTTATGGGTAGTTAAAGATATTTAAGTGGCAAAATATTTACCTTTTTAAAATTGGTCAATGTATGCTATCATTCATATGTCATGAATACATGTGATTCCCTACAAACACATAATTAGTCCAGGGGAAAAATGTAAAAAGTTTCAAAATCAAGTTCATTTCAGATATGAAGCAATGTAAATGAATATTATAGTAAGAAACACAACATACAAATGAGAGAAGCCAGGAAACCTAGTCTTAAAAATGTATGTGACATTTGAATTCAGATATAATCCACATTAAAATGTCCACTTAATTTAAACAGTTTTGGGGCCAGCGGGTGGAATGGTGGTTAAGACTGATGGACTCCCACATGGCCGACTGCAGTTTGAGACCTAGCGGCTTGCTTTCTCACTTTCTCTATCTTTCTCTCTCTGTCCCTCTCTGGTCAAATTAAAATAAGAAAGAAAGAAAGAAAGAAAGAAAGAAAGAAAGAAAGAAAGAAAGAAAGAAAGAAAGAAAGAAAGAAAGAAAGAAAGAGGAAGAGAAAGAAAGAGGAAGAGAAAGAAAGAGGAAGAGAAAGAAAGAAGGTTAAATAAAATGATTCTTTAAAAAAATGTAAACAACCTCATGGAGAAAACTTATGTTCTGCGAATTTGTCCCTTTCTGAATATCATGAAAATAAAACTATAAGGTAGCTAAAGTAGAAGTCTGGCAAGTAAATGCACACACACACACACACACACACACACACACACACCAGGACTTAATATTATACAGAGGTAGCATAAAACACTAATTTGATTGTACTAAAACTATCAAGTAGAAAATACAGTATAAACTTTATGTTTTAGTACTTTTTTTTTTTTTTTTTGGAGAGGTTTTCGCTAGAGGGCGCTCACCAGACAGACAGAGACAGAGAGATAGAAAGCGAGAAATCGCCCCCCAGGGGGGATGGCCACGCCGCAATCCCTTCTCCTCCATTCTCCTCTTGGGATCTTGGGCACGCACACATATGCGCCTGGCGTAAGTTTTAAGCCACCGGGTCCGGGACGTGAACTGTGGTCGACTACGTGGGAGTCCAGCAACATAGCCAACTGTTGGTTCCAATGTTTTAGTACTTTTGTTAGCCAAATTTATCTTTACCTCCAAAGAATGTTCAAAATAGGGAAAATTTATTTTTCGAGATTACAGGTAATGTTATAAGTGAACTTAAAAGGCTGATCTGAAACAGTTTCCATTAAATTTTTCCAATTAAATACTTGCTAAAACAAAAGAAATTGAGGAGTTAAAAAAAAAAAAGAAAAGAAAAAGAACAGGGTTGCATAAATGCAGAGAATCAAATCTTATGTTAAAGGTTATTTCAGCATATTGCAACAGAATTACAGTATCTTGTATGGAACACATTACATAATGAAAATGGGGGCTTTAACATTTAAAAATTATTATTCCTAAGGGCCATCCTGTAGCATGGTGTTTGCGGGAGCTAGATACCACAGGGCAAACTGCCTGATTTGAATTCCAGACTAAAAATCATGCCAGGTGCATGTGCGATTTCCCAGAACCCTGAAAAAAAGAGAAATGTAGAAAGGACTGATTGTGGTGTGACCAATCCTCTCATTGATTGTGGTGTGATCAATCCTTTCTCCCTCTTCTTTTCCCTCTCTGTCTCTCTCTCTAGTGAGTGATAGATAAAATAATCACTGATAAAATATTATCTTATTGATGAAACTTAACCACGAACCATATTTTTGCTGTATTTTTCTCCTTTATTTACTTTATTTCTTTTCATGAGTTGTAGAGAACGAAAGTGAGTATGGGAAAAAGAGACAGGCAACTATGACAGGGTCAGTCATGCTGTGATTAACACGTCAGTACCCCAGTCAACCAGTATCACCAGTGCACATAAACCTGCATGTTTTTAGGATGACCTGGGATCCAAATCTAACTGGCCACGTGGATCTAACATTGCAGAGCACCACCCCACCACAATTGGACCTATTACTAGATTAATATGGCTGAAGAGACAACTTTCTACAATATAGGTCTGATTATGCAGTTATTTCTATACTTGGCAAAATATAAGTGGCCGTTTCTCATTTTACAAACATTTTATCATCCTACTTGGACAACATGAGGCAATGGAACTACAGTGACTCCAAGTCAGAAAATGGCACTGTGGTTAAATATAAGTGAAAAATAGTATTGGATACAAAAAAAAGATGTTGATTTATGGTTAAACAGCAAAATGACTGTATATTTATCTCCACCA